TAGTAAATGTTCAAGTTAGCTTCGACTAGAGAAGAGACATCCACTAATCTACATGGCAATCTCGAGTGTCTCAATCTCAGAGAATGGATATGTGGTGCCACAATCTCCGTCGGGCCGAGAAACCAATCGCTTCGATCCATCTCCAATCTCCTTAGACGCGGTGATTGGCTCAGATCAAGACACCGGAATTCATCGCAGTACAGCAATTCCAAGCTCTCAAGGCAGGGACAACCAGAGAGAATCTTGACAAGGGATTCATCGGAAAGCTTACAGTAACTCAAAGACAAGTTCTTTAGAGACGTCCACGACACGGTGCATCTCGGGATCATGACGACGGATCCAGAGTCGACCAAGAGTTGCTTTACGGTGGAGTTTGTGTAGAAGAAATCGGGAAAACTGTAATCCCTAACACGAGTGTCGCGAAACTCGAGAGAGAGCTTCTCGGCGTCGTGGGAAATGGCGAACTCGATCCAGCTGTCGACAGGTTGGATCCTATTGACTAAGCTTGTTCGGAGATGGAAGCTCGCGATTTTGGGAGCGGAGAAGCTGGCTAAGGTTTTGTTGATCGATCTAGCTACCACTCTGTGGCTATCGATGGAGAGAGAAGGCGTCTCGCACCATACGTGCCGCCATCGCTTGGACAAGACGGAGGTTCTGATGGCTGACTTGGTCGGGATTGAGGAAAGGATTAGGTGGAGAATCGCGTCCGGTAGAGAGCTGATGAAATCGAAACCCTCGATTGAAATTGAATCGCCGATTGTTCTGTCTTGGTTTGGAGAATCAGACTGGCGGCGGCTAGGGAATTTCACGGTGGCAGTGGCGCCGTTTCGCCGCCGGGAAGTTTCAGCCATGGCCATCGAATCTCAAAAAGTATATTTCTGTCTGGTTATTACATGTAAAATTCGGACTCATTTTCTAAATACAAAGTTTTGTGGGACTATTGACCTCAATAAATTTAATCGACCGGTTTTCACTTTTCAGACATATAGTTGGTACACTTTGTGTAATAAAATTGGTTTTACAAATCAACTACAGTATACACTAGATTTAATAAATTCTATAATACTTTCATGATACAAATTATTTTGTTAGCACTCGTAAGTTACAACTTGGAAAAAAAAACAATTGAAAGATTTTAAAGAACTTGATATATTCTTAGTTAACCAAAAGCTATTTCTTGCAAGAAGGCTGCAACAATGAATCTGAGACTCACTGTTGCGGTAGGGGAAAGATTACAGGACAAAGTGATTACCAAACAGAGAAAAGAAAGCAACAAAAAGAAAGTAAAGTTGTTGTTTTGTAAGAGAATAACATAATCGGAAAAATACTGATGCAAATACTTAGCGTTTGAAGACAATGGAGACGTTATTGTTGTTGGAAATCATCTGAAGCAACTCTTCAAACCATTCTGCATCATAAGAGCCGATACATCTCAACCCTACAACCAACGTCTCTATTGTGTTTGCGTTCCTCAGCAACATCTCCATGTAGGAAGCCACAAGTTTGGACATTGCACGGTTACAAGATTTTATCGTCCCATTATACTCGATTAATTCAGGAAACGCCTTATATTTTGATCTCCAAATTTGATTCGGATTCAAGCCTTGTGAATCCAAATAGCTGTCCACATCCCTATCCTGTACGAGCATAAAAGGTTATCCCAAAGCATACTAACAATACATGTGATTTTTACAAAATATCAAACATTATAGCCTAACAAAAAGGGAAAGGCATGCTTCTTGGAATGTTCCTACTTAATTATTATGGTCTTACTAATTATATACAGGAAAATAAAAGAGGTTTCTGGTAATAATACCTTTATGTCGGCAAGGTCCGTTGCGTGTGCTATTAGCTTCTTTAAGCCAGGTGAACTTTGTAGTAACCTTTCTATACCAGGAATAACAGATCTTCCAAGAACGGTTTCAAGAGTCAAAGTTTTGACCTTGAGCGTTGGGAAAGGAACACCACGGAGCTCGGCGAGAGATAGAATCTAACAAAACAAGATAAAAAAAGGTCAACCTGATTAATGAATCATAACAAGAAAACTATATATATATATATTAGTTATTTAGCATTGTTAAAAAACTAGTTATTTAGCATTAGCAAATTTAAGTTTTTAAGGCGTTCATATATATATGCTTGCAAAACGTAGAGAGGCTTATATATTAGAGGTGGTTATATATATATGCATTTGGCTTTAAGTAGAGAATGCAAGAATGGGAAACATACCTGAAGAAGGTTTCCATGAAGAGTAAGCCTCTCTACGTTTTGCAATTTGGCTAGCATCTTTAGCACCATTTTTTGAAGAAAATCAGCATAATACAATGGAGATTGTAGGTGAAACAAGAAAACGTCAAGGGTAGCGTCGGTCAAAGAAGAGACATCCACCAAAGGAAATAGTCCCTCAGAGCTTCTCATACTCAAAGAATGGATGTGGGGCGCTATAATCTTCATTGGTCCTGCCGTATGATACAATTGATATATCTCCAGTCTCTTCACACTAGGTGATTTACTCAGATCAAGACGCTTAGGTAAAGCATCACAGCAAAACAAGCTCAAGGTTTCAAGAACTGGACAGCCAGAGAGAATATTAGCAAAATATTTATCATAGAGACAACAATCTTTCAGTTTCAGCTTCCTCAGGGATTTCCAAGACACTGTGCAGCTTGGAATGATATCAATCTCCGCGGATATGGTTAGTTGCTCTAAAGAGGAACTCCGATACAAGACATCTGGGAGACTATGAGTCTCCTTGCAGTTGACTGACAAAGACAGATTCTCCACGTTGCGGGACATAGCGAACTCGATCCATCTATCCATTTGTGGCGCAGAGACATCAGACTTGGTCACGCGAAGATGGAAACTCGTGAGTTTCGAAGCCTTGGAGGATATTAGGGTTTGGTTTACGTCTCCATCCGTCGCCGTTCTTCTAGATTCATCAGAGTCATCAAAGTCGAGACTATGTGTCCCGCACCATACAGGCCTCCATCGTTTGGACAAGACGGAAGTAGTGATGGCGATCTCGGTGGGAACAAAGGAGAGAATATGGTGCAGGATCTCATCTGGCATAGTGCTGAGGATATCAACACCGTCGACTGTTTCGGCGGCTTGTTTGATTTCGTTGATAGAATCGGAGCGGTGGCTAATGATTCCACTAGCGGCGGTGCTGCCACCGTCTCCGTCTCGGGTCTCGTCCTCCATCTTTCGCTTTTAGGGTTTGGAAACTAATCTCTCGTCTAAGAATAATACTAGTACGGTATGTAAGCCTTGAAAGTTCGATATATATAATGTGTGTGATGGTAGATTTAAAATCAAAAGTTATTCCTTTCCTAATTTATCACCAAATTTCCTTAAAATAAAGAGAAATCTAGTATGGAGAATAGTTGTATGTGTTAATGATTTGTGTTTGATGATGTTTACCAAACGAAAGAAAAAACAGAGTATATATTGTAACGAAACTTGTAATCTTGTACTGATAACTTGAATTTGTTACAACTTTTTGTGATATAAGAAACAGAAACTTGATCACATATTTATACAAATGAAAAGTTGTGTTTAAAAGACATAACTCTTTAATCTAAAAGACATGACTCTTTAATCTAAAAGACACAATTCTTGAACAAGACAACTTAACTTGTGGCTCTTGATGATTAAGTAACTAACTAATATGCATAGTATATAAAATTTGACTCCTTTTGTAAGTCCAAGTTTCTGTCGAACTATTGACCTCAATAAATCTAATCAATCTGTTTTCAAAAATATAATTGCTACTTTTGTGTAAAAAGGTACTTTTTATCATCAATTATATATTACAATCTTTTGTTATCGGAAGTTAGAATATGTGGTTTAACTTCGAAAAACACTGACGCAAATACTTAGCGCTTGAAGACGATGGAGACATTATTGTTGTTAGAAAGCGTCTGAAGCAACTCTTCAAACCGTTTTGCATCGTAACGGATATATTTCAACACTACAACCAACGTCTCTAGTGTGTTTACGTTCCTCAGCAACATTTCAATGAACGATGCCACAAGTTTGGACATTGCCTCCTGACGAAACTCATATGAGGTAGGAAACAACTCATATTTTGAACTCCAACATTGATCCGGATTCAAGCCTTGTGAATCCAAATAGCTGTCCATGTCCCTATCCTGTATAGAGCATAAAAAAGTTATCCCAATTCGTGTGATTTTTAGAGAATATCAAATACTATAGCCCAACAATAAGTGAAAGACATTGTTCTTGGAATGTTCCTACTTAGTTATTATGGTCGCACTATAAAATACAAGAAAATAAAAGAGGTTTCTGGTAAAAATACCTTTATCATGTCGGCAGGGTTCGCTGCTTTTGCTATTAGCTTCTTTAATCTCGGTGAATTTTGTAGTAACCTTTGTATACCAGGAACAACAGATCTTGTAAGCTTGGTTACAAGAGTCAAAGTTTGGACACTGAGCGTTGGGAAAGGAACACCACGTAGCTCGGCGAGAGATAGAATCTAACAAAATCAGATGAAAAGGTCAAATTAATTTGTAAATTTACCAAGTTGATGTTTACAAGGCGTTCATATATATTATAGGTGGTTTATACACACATATGCATTTGGCTTTAAACAAGAAAGTTTGAGCTCTTAATTAAGTAGAGAATGCAAGAATAGTCGACATACCTGAAGAAAGGTTCCATCAAAAGAAAGCCTCTCTACGCTTTGCAATTTCGCTAGCATCTTTAGCACCATTGTTTGAAGAGAATGAGCCTTGGAATTAAAAATAAAGGGTCGAAATCTAATGCAAATGTCAAGGCTAGCTTCGGTCAAAGAAGAGACATCCACTAAAGTGAATGGTGGTTCCTCAGAGCTACTCAAATTCAAATAAAGGATGTGCGGCGCTATAATCTCCACTGGTTCTTTATGCTCTAGAGTCTCCATTGGTCCTGTATGCCTTAATTGATGATATATCTCCAATCTCTTCAGACTCGGTGATTTACTCAGATCAAGACGCTTAGGTAAACGATAACAGCGATGAAAGTTCAAGCTTTCAAGAACTGGACAGCCGGAGAGAATATTAGCAAAAGATTCATCTTTGAGAAAACATCCAGTCAATGACAAGTTCTTTAGGGATTTCCAAGACACTGTGCATCTTGGAATCATATAGAAACCGATGGTCAGGCTTAGTTGCTCTAAAGAGGAACTAAGATAGAAGACATCTGGGAAACTATAATTCTCCGCGTGTGGGTTGACTGATAAAGACAGTTCTTCGACGTTGCGGGACATAGCGAACTCTATCCAGCTATCCATTTGGGATACAAGGACATCAGGCCCGAGGGTCATGTGAAGAAGGAAACTCGTGATTTTCGGAGCCTTGTAGGAAATTAGGGTTTGGTTTATGTCTTGAACCGTCCTCGTTCGCCTAGAATAGTCTTGAAATTCGAGACTGTGTGTCCAGCACCATACATGCCTCCATCGTCTGGACAAGACGGAAGTAGTGATGGCGTCCTCGGTGGGAACAAAGGAGAGAATATGGAGGAGGATCTCATCTGGCATAGAGCTGAGGATATCAACACCGTCCACTGTTTCGGCAGCTGGTTTGATTTCGTCGGGCGAATCGGAGCGGTGGCTCACGATTCCACTCGCGGCAGTGCTTCAACCGTCTCCGTCTCGGGCCTCATCCGCCATCTTTAAATTTTTAGGGTTTGGAAACTAAGGTAGAATGTGAGGTTATGTTATTTTAAAATCTGTAGTGTTTTATTTATTTATATTAAAGCAAATTTGTAAAGTATTGTGAGTCGGCATTATTTACCCAATGAATTTGTGCCATGTTATTTTTTTAGCAATATTTTTCCCAAGAAGAAATAATTTTCCAAG